TGCGTCGATCTCAGAAGATACAAAAGCTAGAGAGCTGAAATTTGGCATGCATAGTAGTGTACACCATACCATACCATACCATAGAATAATCGAAAAATTGAGTTTTTTTTCAGCCTAATTTGAACATTATTAGACCTGACCACGCCCCCTTCGCCCCCAATTTCAAATACTAGAGACTTGTGCTTTGGATGCATGTATGTATGTGTATATGTGCATAAAATAAATACAGAATGATTAGAATATCTGAGTGTAGGGTTCAGGGTATCTCATAGTCGAGCAGTCTCGACTGGAGCCTTCTTACTTGTCTCACTTGCTTAGCTTGAATTTGTAAAACCAATAACCTTAGAAGACACAGAGCGGACAGGTAGTGTAAGGCTTTTGCACACTTTTTTTCGTGGCAGTAGGAGGTATGGCAGACCCCATATATATTTTTGATCAGGGCGACGAACTCAGCCGATTTAGTCCTGTATGTCTGTCCGTATGCTTGAACGCGTCGATCTCAAAAGATATAAGAGCTCTAGACTTAAAATTGTATTCCTAGGTCCGTGTATACCACGCGCATATCGAGTTTTTCTTCAAAAATGGATTTCTTGTCGCGTTATTTTGATATCGATTAAAAGCCTCGAAAATCCGAAACTTTATAAATGTTTATTATATCTGCTGCATCTTTTAAGTTAGAGTCGCCAAACTTTAAGTGTATATTCATATGTATGTACCTTGTAGAATGTCGATTTTTGGTCAAATTTACCCTCATATCCACCCCACCCCACCCCCACCCATCAATTTTTAAAGGCGAACTCAAAAAACTAAAGACTTTTGTTTTGGCATATGCATGTTATAATCAGAATCTGAAAGAAAAGTTAGTAAACAATTAAATTCCCGTATTTCTACGTAGGCTTTCGCCTATGTATGTATGTCTGTGAGTGTGTGTGTATTTCTTGGGTAAGCTGAAAGGCATAATGAATTATTGCAATATCAGTTGCTAGAAGGGTTCAGGGGGTCGTGTAGTCTCGACTAGAGCTTTCTTACTTGTTTATGTATTTATTTATTATTTTATAATTAAATGCAAAATAAACTAAATTACAAACATACAAAATACAATACAAGTTCGTCATAGAGCGCGCTTGGTAAAGTGCTCATCGTCTATAACCGTATACCGATTGTTGCGGTACGTGTCCAGCTCAAATATATATTTCTTGCCACAATCCTTCATTAGCTTTAAAATAACGGGTTTTATATTCTCAATGCCCGTCATATTGGCCAACTCGTTATAGTAATCGAACTATTGGAGATGTGAGATATTATTACATTTTATATGAGTATGTTTTGAGAAGTATCAATATTAATTCCTACCTGTCGTTCGCCCATTTGATGGGCCTTTTTACGATTGACAAAGCCGCAGTCCCAGCGCTCGCCCTGCTCCTTCTCCAGGTCGGCGATCATCTGCTCTTTTGTGGGCAGCTGGCGCTGTCCCGTGTAAAACTTGAGTGTGAAGCGCACCTGCATATCGAATATGTGCGTGGGTATCACATTAAAGGGTAGCCCAATGAACGACATTGTGGGGTTGTTGATGTTGATGCAGTGCTTCCACAGTGGCTGCACAAAGTTATCGATCACCTGAATGCCAACATCGGTGCTGAGACAGGGAAAACTATACTTATACCCGGTGCAGTAGACCACGTGATCGAAGCTCTCCTCGCTGCCATCCTTAAAAATGGCCCCATTTTTCGTTAGACGTTCTACGTCCGGCTTTTGCGTTACATTGCCCATAAAGCCGGTGTTGGGCGCGGTTGGGAGATGATGACTCAGGTACACATGCCTGGCCTCCTTGCGAATGTGATTTGTAATGTCCATGCCACTGGGACCGGCACCAATAATCAGCACACTCTGATCTATAGACATAAATAAATAAATTAAGGAATATAATTACATAATATATCTCGATAATAGTGGGTTTAAGCTTTACTATGCACTTTTTCAGAAAATTTTATAAATTTGAATGTGCTATGAAAGTGTCAAAACTTAAAATCTCTCGATGAGCAATAGGTTAATCCGTAGCCGCTATTTACTATAAATATGGCAAGTTAATAATAATTAAATACAATATTTTTAGACCACATAGATATAAAATAACTGCTTTACAGATATTATCTACTTCCATGAGTGAAAATGAATGAAAACAAGTAAGAAAGCTCTAGACTGCTCGACTAGGATATACCCTGAACCCTCCAATCTGATATTCTAATAATTCTGTACTTCTTTTATGCATATATACATACATACACATGCGTCCGCACGCACGCATAAGCCGCGCTCTGCTAACTGCGCAGTAGCACTGGCAGTAGGTAGCGACTGCGCTTGAATAATTTAATTTCTAGAAGTACGATCTTAATGAAACTTTCTGAACGTAATCATAATGTTCAAATGTATGTATGTACATTGCAAAGCACAAGACTCTAGTATTTGAAATGCATTTTATACAAATTGGGGGCGAAGGGGGCGTGGTATCCAAAATCTATAAATAAAAAATGTTTGTATTCATCATATGTATATACACAGTAAATCTGTTGTCTCCAGGTCTAATAGTATTCCAATGAGGCTGAAAAAACGAAATTAATTTTTTGATGATTCTCGATACACGAGTATGCACACAAAATTTCAGCTCTCTAGCTTTTGTATCTTCTG